ACTGCCTACTATATTTAGGCTACTTTAAATATAATGAGCATTATATACTATTGCTAAAAGGTTATTGTATACATCACTTATATACATTATATTAGAATAATATATATGATATTAGGGGTGCAACGATATTCGTATCGATATTGAACCGTTCGATACAGTGCTTTCGGTTCGGTACGCATATGTATCGAACAATACAATTTTTTAAAAAAATTTTTTTTTTTTTTTTTTTTTTTTTTTTTTTTTGTGTCCCGTTTGGATCTATAGCCATCAGAATTGTTGTCTTAGAGGCCAAGAAAGATGCCAAGGGATTTATTTTACCAAGTGGATCATCATCTTGCATTTGGTCCATTTGATTGACCTTTATTATAATTATGAATTTATTTTATTTTCAGTTGCAAAACGGGACAGACATGACTGGGGATAGGACAGGGAGAAAGAATGAAAGAAAGAGAGGGGAGAGAAAGAAAGACCAAAGGGGAGAAAAAATCATAACAAGAACATACAACAATTTGTAATTTATTTTATCAACTTTCCTTCTGACGATGCTGTCTGTGTTGAGCGCTCAGTGAATCTGTGTTGACTACTCCGCCTAGGCTGAGGCACTGCGGGTGTCGACGCAGATTCACTGAGCGACTCAACACAGCACATAGGTCAGAAGGAAGAGCGCAGGGCAAGCTAGCGAGACAGAAGTGACTCTCCTTCACACAAAACCTCATTCAGATCTGGCATTTGGAATTATTTTGGTTTTCATGTGACGTATGACCCTGAAGGTAAGCGAGTCATGGACTAAAGTAAAACAGTATGTTGGATGTGCCATGCAATGCTCAATTACATGGGTTAGCGAGTAGCAGCTTTAGTGACATGTTAAACATTGTTGACTGTGTTACCAGTTAGCTCGTTAACGTGTTGGCCGTCTAGCCCCATGCAGGTACGGGGTAGCTCGTTAACGGAGATTTGCGTGTTGTGGCGTTAAGGTCATTTCAACGAGATTAACCTGAAAGCACTAGTGGGAACACAACAAATATGACTGCACATTTACAGCCAACATCATCCTAGTGCAAGACAAAAACAACAAGCATGCTACTAACTTTAGCCGAGTCATTTAGACAGCTGTTAGCACATGATTCTCCTTATGCTGCTGAGAATATAGCCCAGAAGAAGCGGATAGTATAGCTTTTATTTTGGAAAGAGACATTTCTCTGTAATAAACTCTCTTTTCCAAAGATGAGTGATTCCTCAATCAGATACAGGGCTGCAATATCGCTAGCCCGGCGGCTAGCGATTTTTTCAGTCGGGCTACCAAAATCTATCTCTTCCCTGCCCGTCGGGCTATTGTAGGAAGAAAATATATGTCAATGCTTTTGCATTCTTTCAGAAATGTAGCTGGGTAATTATGTCATTGGCCGGTGAGCCACTGTCAATATGTGACATATTGAAATCGTGTTTGATTTGCGCTTGTTTTTTTGCTTTCACTTTGCAATCGCGCGAACTGTGTATAGAGAGCGACAGCACTGATCTGTGAGTGATGATAATTTGTGCACCAATTCCTCTGACATCGTCTTATTAATGTTAGCTTACTATGCAAACATGACAAGTGAAATCTCCCGCAGCACTTAAACATGTGAGAGGTTGATCGCGCAGAGAATCGCTGAGCTTATGTGAGTGCGTGTGTAAGCAGGGATATATATTTGACTACGATGACCTGGATGATTGAGAACCTTCACAGACAGATATATATTTTAGTTCTGCTGAGCCAAATAAGACAGGTCAGGGTGAAGAAGTGACAGCCAAAGAAAAGCTTACCACAAAACGGAGAAGTTATGACAAATCAGACTATAAGGCAAAAAGAAAGTGCAGCTTTATGGTTTCATGGACAAAAGAATTTCTGTGGCTGCAATATGACGAGCTAAAAACCAACACGCACAAGGGTTAGGGTTAAATTTAAAAACTGTACTTTTGGTTAAAATATATATTTATAATTTTAATAAATGACAAATTAAAAAGGCATGAACATTTTTTTGTATCGAAAAAATATCGAACCGTGACACCAAAGTATCGAACCGAACCGAACCGTGAATTTTGTGTATCGTTGCACCCCTAATATATATTTATTATAACTATATATATATATACATATATATAATCATATATATATATATCATTATATATATAGTATATATATATATATATAGTATATGTATGTGTGTGTGTGTGTGTGTGTCTATTATTAGAATAAAAATATTCAGGGAGGTCTGGATGTGATTCTGGTTAGTTAAAGGCAATACCCTGGCAGGAAAAGTGTTAAGAAACAAATGTCTTTATGCCTCACATTGTTGCTCTGTGACGCTTGCTGACTCTGTACCTGTACGTGTCCTTGTGGTTGCATAAAAGCTCCCATCACGCCGAGAGCAGCAAGGAGCCGGGGTTTTTGTGATGTGGTTGTTGAATCGGTGAGGAGTGCAGGTATAATGGTGTGATACACCCGCTTCCTCCCAGCAACGCAGTTTATGTGATTACGGCACAGGGAAAAGTTAGCGCCGCGATTCTGCAGAGATAGAACAAAGAAATCAGAATTCAACCCTTTTAGCTTAAACACTTATGTTTTATGCTTCAGTCTATGTGGTTCCAGTTTAGGAGGCTACAATGTCTTCATGACTTCATCAATACATTTACATGCACAACAAAAATGAGCTTGTAAGGTAATGTGAGCATGCAAATTAAGGTAATGAAATATGAAAATCTACAACTTTTTCCACCCAGGCTTCATTTTATATGTCTTTTTTCCCTTAGTTTCACACGGCAGCATTCATGTTCATGTAAAATTCTCTTACATATGTGCTGCTGTGTTACTGGGAAGTTTATTGTAATTATAAAAACCTATAGAGCTTTATTAATGCGGTATATAAGAGGCAAGCTGAGAAATCAGCTGCAAGTGGTAATGCAGGATCTTGTTTTATGTGGATCACTTAAAAAATTACCCCAATTATTTGAAGCATAATCTCATATTACACTAAATTCTTAGCATTTTTCCATGATTTAGAAGAATTCCTAGTCTTTCAGTAAATCAAACAGATAAACGCCATTGCTACCTTACATGCGCACAAATAAAGACATTCTCTTTCTGACCCTTCAGACCTGTAGTGAGAATCCACAGTCTTTAGGGACCAGCCCCGTCCCAAAGCCCATATAGTTGCTGTTGACAAAGGAGCATGCATTCCTCTCACTGTCTATCACACAGAAATACACCGTGTCACTTCCTGTCATCAGGCCGGGCTCCACTCGCTCCATGGCCCTGCAGAGTCACACAAACATACAACAACAATCATATTCATTAATAAGTTCACCTGACAGGTCTGTTTTTTACTATTTATTTATTAAAATATTTGGAAAATGAAAGAAAAATTAAGACTCAAGTAGACTGAAAAGAAAACTTGTGTTGGTTTAAGAACAAAACCAAACTACCAAGTTTGCAAAGATAATTGAAAGGTTTCATACTTATGCAATAAATGTTGCCATAAACACAATATTACAGGTATGAACGAGGGTTGAGGAGTTTTCCTGCCTTAAAGTACCTTTATCTGTAGATTTCTATTTCTTTTACATTAACCAGATTATTGCAGTGCAGTAAAAAATATTTATAATTTCCTGTTTTTATATGACTTCCCATTATTGCCTAGTTTATTAGAAGCATCTAAACATTAAAAGTGTGAAGAGGTTGTGAGGATAACAAGACATCAGAATCAAATTGACGCCTCGTTTGGACCTGGTTGACTCATTTAGGTTAAGTTGACAACCAATGGAAGCGAGACGTAGAATTAGTGTGTGGATTTGTGTGTGTTTGATGGTGCAGTGACACCGAAATGAACTCGGCAATTTCAAAAAAGCAGGATTTAATACCCGGTATACATCAATATATGTTAACACAATTATTGTGTTGTTGTTAACTTTTATAGTCTGTTTGTCTTTCCCCTGATAAAGACCAGATCAAGTTCAAAGTCCTCAACAATATAACACATTGTTTCTAAAATATACACTCACACAACGACACACGCCCTGGGTGAATGTGAGGGAAGAGACGAGAAGGGATGGGCGCTCAGGTCAGGGGAAGTATAAGTCTACAGACCTATCTAAAGTCAACAGAGGACGACTGGTACACACTGGTACTAACAGATATACACACGCAGAAACACACACCTGTCCGTGCTGATGAGCTGTGCTCGCTGGTGACTGTAGCCCTTGTCCAGCAAGGTTTCCAAAGGGATAGTCACATGACTTGAGTCACCCAGGTAACGCAGAGCATCTGTTAGAGCCAATCGCACAGCCTCAACCAGTACATGGATATAGTCAGAGCTGTTATGGCCTTTAGCTACACACACACACACATACGCACACACACAAACACAAGCACATAGAAATGTATTATAGGGCCCAGGAAAAGCCAAGTATGCAGGTTCATGAACTCTGACTGCACAAAAACAAAAACAGTTACTTATTTTACAATTTACTTTCTGTCAGTGTAAAGAAGTAGTACAAATTTAATCCATAAGATAACATAAGTTACGTGATAAAGAAGTGGTGCTGTAGTGAAAGAAATGAATTAATTAGGACTCTTTGGACTTAAATTAGAAGAAATTAATGTGTAAAACTATAGAAAAAAGTTGCTATAGCTCATTGTCCAGTCTCTCCTGCAAATATAAAATGGTAATTCACAAAAAAATCCCTTTTTATAAATGTGGAGCCCATGGGGGAAAAAAATCTGTAGTAAATAGCGTAAAAAACAGAAAGATTTCTGCTTCATGATATCTATCACATAATTACTTTGGTGCAGTATAAATGGACACGGGGAAGGTCCTTATCAATTACAGTTACAGATAAAGCTTTCTTCATATTTTCCAAAGCGGTCCAGGGGGCCAGTTTAGAGTCTTTGCTGGATAGATTCTGGCCCCCGGGACCTTATGTTTGGCATCCCTGCTATTTGGAAAAAAATTAACCTCACAGAGGTTAGTTTTTGTGGACAAGCATATCCTTTTCCCTTTTTGACTAGTCACAATGGTTTGATCTGATAAAATTACCAAGAGGGTTTGCAGCATCCTTTCCTTTTGGTCAAAGGAGATCAGAATGCGTTGTTCCAGCGCAGGGACGGCAGGTCGGGCCAGTGAAATCACCAGCGAGCTGACTTCCATAATGCAGGAAAATCCATTTTAATTTTCCTGTTTTATTTATATTTTGAATGTCTCTTTAGTTTTTCTGCTGAGCAGCTTTTTATTTCCCCTGCGCTGGGCTGGGACAAACAGGCAGAACACTGTAACTAACTGGGTTGGGTTATAAAATGTGATTTATGGAAATGTAGGAGATATATGGTTTTTATTTTTATGACTCAGCCACTTCTCCAGACTCATATTTACTGTATACTTAAGATTTTACAACAGGCAATAATGCACCTGGCAGGGACTTCTTCACTGTCCCTGTGGTTACCTTTGAGTTGAGGAAAGTTCTCCAGGATGTTGAGCATGAGCAGGGCAGCCAGTCCCTGACTATTAGGAGGAAGCTCCCACAGACGTACACCCTAAACACACAGTGAAGTCAAGTTCATTCTGCTGACCATGTTATTAAAATACACACATGACCGGCATCTTTGGTTTCTGACCTTGTACTCTGTGCTTATGGGGGTGATGACCTCGCTGTCATGGCTGCTCAGGTCACCCAAGGTCATGACTCCCCCATTTTGGTTGATGACGTCAACAATGGCCTGGGCCACTCTGCCCTGGTAGAAAGCTGGCTTGCCACGCTCACCGAGCTCCTGTCGATACATGAGCTCATGTACTGCTCACTCAGCCACAGTACAAAACGTTTTACAGATGGTGGTTAACATGATATCGAGGAACACTTGTCCAGCGTTTAAAAGTTCACTCCAGTCAATGTGTGAGTGGTGCACATCGATAATGATCGTACAGTGTGATATGATCTTGACTGACTTTGTGGATGGCCATGCCCACATTCCTGAGTTTCGAGTTCTGTCTCTTCCAGTGCCAGCCATCTTTAAGCAAAAACCACATTAATCAATATGATCATTAGTAAGATTAAGGCCTTGTATATCAAAGATTTAGCACCGATAACTAATATTACCTTTTATCAGGAAAATATATAAAGACAATTTTGCGTACGCTAGACTAACATGGTGGGTCATCGCTGTTCTTTCCACTGCCTCATGGTCATGAGTGTAGGTGTGTGCGTGTGTCTGTGGGTGTTGAGATAGGGCACATTTGGCCATCTTCCTGCGTTATGGTATTATAAACGCTTGATTGTTTGAATTGATTTCAATCAATGCATATTTTAGTGGTGACTCACAAGCAGGCAACCACACACTCAGATAAACACACAATGACATAAGCCATGCTTTTCTTTAGTCTGACTGACTCCGGAATCTATGAAATGACAATAGTTGTATAAATGTGCCATTACATATACAAAATTAGACACAGAGTCATGGCTGAACATTCACATGAAGGTGGAGTACTTACAGTACTGACACATGGCACTAAAAAAAGCAGCATTCGCATTTCAGTAGCTGAATAAAGCTTAAGTTCAGCTTTATTGGCTTCAGGTCATAACAAATTACTCACAGTAACTTTTAAAACTACACTTAAAACATAATCACCATTTTATTTGTCAGAAGCAATACATCACACAAATCCTTTTTTCCCTCTACTGACTATCTTGTTACACACTGTACCCTGTCGAATTTTGCTCCCAGTTCGTCTTCTAATCTGCTTTTTCTGTGTCCCCGCTCTGCTGTGTTTGGCTTGGTGCAGAAGAAGAAGGCGAATGTCTCGGACACAGGTACTCAGCACCGTCTGTGTGACTGCTTATGCAGTGCATGCAGACTTGGGACTGTTTACCACAAAAAAGCAGTCACCATGTCTAAGTCGTGTCCAGTGCAGCTTTTTTCAGGGAAGTTTTAGCAGCAGGTGTAAAACTCTTTTTATGAAATGTGTATGCAGTATTCCCCCTTCAGTCTGGGTCTCTCATGTTCATTAGCCAACTTGTAAAGCACTTTGCTCAACCTTTTACGATAGAATGTGCTATAGAAATAGAATTGACACTGGCAGCCTGGCCTCAGCAACACGCACCGTAAATGTTTAATCTACTGAGGCCCTGAAAAACTGGTGAAATACTCTTAATCTAACCATTTGCATGTTTACATACAGTACAACAGCTGAAAGTCATAGAAGTTGCTGGGTTTTTATTTATTTACGTTACACCTATAGTTGTACTATATAATACAGATTTTTTTCCCTGTGTACAATATCTCATCTCTTTATTGTCTTCATCATGCCTTCCACACACATTTGAGTAGAGTTTTTCACCGACTAAAATGCCCAGTAGACAAAAAAGAGCAGACAAGAAAAACTGGTGCAGCTGCAAATGCACAGTCACGTTAAGCTCCAATTTAACAACTAAAGAGTCAAAAATATTTCCCATTTTCTCTCATTTGATGATGATAGCTCAGTCATTTCAATGCACACAAAAGTTCAGGCATGAACTTCTGTGCACAATCATGAGACTGGCAGGTTGAGTTTATTATGAACCTCATAATAATGATATTAATTTTATGCATCAGTGAGGAAATTGCCTAAAAATCACCTTTACTGGTGAGCTATCAAATTGACAATCATTATCAGTGTCACAGCCCTAATTTACTGTAGCATATATATATATATATATCTCAAAAGAGAGAGCAGAAGGTTTGATTTTTAACACGAATATTTTTGGCAGAGCTAGTTTAATGTCACTACACTTATATCCAACTTGACTTCAGTGTCATCAGATATATGTCGTTCAATCTCGTGACCAATGCTGCTCTTGCGTTAGGTGCTGTTAAACATGATGGAGTTTGGGATGAATCCTCAGCAAGCCCTGGATGCACCTAGAGTCTATGTAGAGTATGACCACAAAAGTAGGCCTGCACAAAAACACACACACAAACACGCGCCGTTATAGCAAATGTTAGAATCATTTGCAAGCTTAAAGAGCAGAAGAACATTATGTCTTGATTAATGATCAGTAACATTGTGTGTTTAGTCAAAATATTGATTAGATAAGTCATTCGGACATTCATTTATGCCACTATAACAGATTGTTTGCATGAAGTGAAGCACTATCGCTTTGGATCAGTGCTGCCTGCTACACGGCGATGTGGAACTCGCTTCATTGTGGACAGTTATGCTGGTGTTGAGAGTTTCACTGAGTTCTTGGCCTTTCTCTTTGTTCCCAGTATTGGTCAGACCAATCTTTTTATAGTGGCAAAGAGAAACCACTAGTTGTAATCAATCATGATCATTAAGTTAAATGATTAAAAGGCTCTTTGTCATGTTATGCTAAAAGATTCTTCAGCACCACAAGATTTAACTGCATTTATATTTGAACCTTTTTATCATGTGTGGAGAAAATCCAAAATAAATTCAAACTTGTGGACCCAATTCTTGCTTTTAGCCATTAAAGATGTATGCTGTACAATCAAGTGTGTTCAAGTGTATAATTGGCTCATGTGCTTGTGTATTTTTTATTTTTGTCATATGAAATGCACATTAAGCTGTTTGGTAGTTAATGTGCCATTGAAACACATGTAAACATAGCAACTAACTTTGCCATAAAATATGTTGCCATGCATTTTATTAAGTGGTTGGCTGGTAGTCAAATCAGCTGTTCAGCGTGATGTAACATCATTTGTTAAGTAGATGAGACTTTCCTTAAAAATGCTGATGTCATCTCTCATTTTTTTCTTTTCTTTTTTACTTTTGGAAACACTTGAGAAGAAAACTCCTCTAAATTATGTTGTATGTGGTCACATTTTTCCCAGCTGGTCAGTGGTTGGTTAACCTGGAGGAGGGGATCGACCAGAAGATAGCTGAGGAACTGAAAAGACGAGGACACCGTGTCAACTGGCCAGTGTCAGGTACACATAATTAACTGTTTGCTCACTATTAATAGTTCCATTCAAATTTTCTTTGTGATTTATGTCATATTTCTAAAAAACTGATCATTCTCTTGAAAACGCTACATCCCGATGAACAGAATCAACTTTTTGGGATCATTCTCTTGCTCATTAATGAAAGCGATTGAAGAAAAGCAGGAAAAACACCTTTGTAGTGCAAAATGTCACCAAAACAGTTATTTTCGAAGGCCTTTGCTCTCAGTCGTAAGTCAAGGTAATACGTTTCAGTTCTTTAGTCACGACTTATGTCATTAAAAGTTAATGTGTGACATTAATTATTATATTGATGTGCAATACACTAACGGCAGTAAACAAATGAGACCATTTCTTAGAATAACCATGAGGTTCAAATCAGCGGCATTAGACCGCAGTTCTCATAAACCCTTTTGCTTCCTGTTGTTAACAGGATGTTTGTACTTGTTCCTCTTACGTGCTGCTTACGATGGCTCTCTGGTTTTTCTGAGTGTGAATATTATGCGTGCATCAACTTTTGCCTATCCAAGATTTTCCCACTGTGATAGTCGGATCATAGTGCGATCAGCTTCTTGTACAACTAGCAGCACAGAATAAAAAATATGCTGAAGAGTTCACATTTCTGCATTTTGAAGTTAATTTTGTATCAAATTCCATGTTGTGGTTTAATGTTAATTTAAAACCATTAACAAAATTTATCATAAAAGACTCAGTTCAGGATAATTTTAATGAAGTATTATTTGATAATAAAAGGTTTTAGCTAGAGGAATAAAAAGTCAAATAAAAACAATCCTCCCCACTGTCCTTGGGTTTGACTGTATTTTCTACAAAATGCTAACCAGTGAAGCCGGTTTTAACCTTTGAACTTTTTGTTTTAAGTTTTTGTGATTAATGATTTACAAATCTAAAATATCTAACTGTTCAAAACCTGTCAGTGAAGAAAAGAACAGTGCACGCATCTTCCTACTGCTCATCTTCATATCCTCTGGTTTACATGTTCTACCTATTTTCAGACTCTGACTAACACTCCAAAAACCTTGATTTCATGATGCTAGCATGCTAATTAGACTTAGAATGTATTTTCATTTGTTGTACCTACAGTCCATACAGCTCAGCGGGTTTTTGCATCTTCCTTTTCATTCACACACACAGGCCACAAGAGGTCTCAGTTTGGGCGGGGGCAGATCATCGCAGTGGGGGATTGGTGGAATCCGTCTGTCACCCAAGGGGATCGTCCTTCCAGGGTGCTTTGGGCAGGATCGGATCCCAGAGCAGATGGATGTGCTCAGGGGTACTAGAAAATGCTCTTGCCTTGTTAATGTTGTAATCAGAAGATTTCATCATAGAACTACTTGAAAAGAAATGCCTACAAATGTTGTGCAGTACACAGGTTGTTATTTGTCAGCTGATATTTGACAGTGAGCTTTATAACTCTTTCAAAAACCATTGTACCTTCAAGAAGTGCCTTGTGGAATCATGTTTTTATGCCTGTGTTCACTAGATGTTGAGTTAAAGCACATTTGCTGAATGTAGAGTTTAGTATAAATCAGCACAACCTCAGATTATTTATAATGTGAAAAGTGACAAACAGGAAGATCTTTATCTTTGCTGCATTGATGCCAAAGATGTCCTTCCTCAACTCTGTGTTTTGGCAGAGATAATTATCTGTTTCAGTCTCTTTAATTAGCTGGTGCTGATTTGAAGTTTGCTAGAAATGAAGTGTTGTTCCATACATAAACCTCCGTCCTCAATAAGTTATCATTCCATTTTTACTCTGCTCTGAATTATGTACATCAGCATTATAGTGTCATCGTTAAAAATTCTATTTTGCATAATGTTGCTTTTCCTTTTTTTCTGTGAATCATTTTCTGTTATTGTTAACATCTCATCAATTAAAACATCAGTATTTCAGATTTTCTGTCAGTGAAATACGCTTCATCAGTTCGCATTAACTTAAATCTGCCAAATACATATAGGTGTGCATTTATTTTAAGTTGCTGTTTGAATCTTTGGTTCTAATTTTATAGTTGTTTCTGAATTGCTTGCAGCTTTAGCCCCTGATGTCAGAATCAAACAGCAGTACAAAACACATTTTATGAATTGTGCTTTTACACTGTTAGAGTAGAAGTACACCGATCAGGCATAACATTATGAGCACTGAGAGGTGACGTAAATAACACTGATTATCTCTTCATCATGGCATCTGTTAGTGAGTGGGACATATTAGGAAGAAAGTGAATATTTTGTGCTTGAAATTAATGTGTTAGAACCAGAAAAATGGGCAAGTGTAAGGATTTGAGCCAGTTTGACTAACCGTGATCTCCAAAACTACAGCACTTGTGGGCTGTTCCTGGTCTGCAGTGGTCAGTATCTATCAAAAGTGGTCCAAGGAAGGATGAGTGGTGAATCGGCAGCAGAGTCATCAGTGGCCAACGCTGATTGATGCACGTGACGTACGAAGGCTGGCCTGTGTGGTCCGATCCAAAAGACGACCTGCTGTAGTTCAAATTGCTGAAATTCCCAGTGCTCGAGATCTCAGTCCAATCGAGCATCTGTGGGATGTGCTGGACAAACTCAGATCCATGGAGGCCACGCATCACAACTTAGAGGACTGCAAAGATCTGCAGCTAACATCTTGGTGCCAGATACCGCAGCACACCTTCAGGGGTTTAGTAGAGTCCATGCCTCAATGGTTTAAGGCTGTTTTGGCAGGAAAAGAGGGACCAACTCATTTATTAGTCAGGTGGTCATAATGTTATGCTTAATCAATATATTAGCTTATTTTCAAACCTACTTTTGTAGAGCTTGAGAGTAAAAACATGAAGCTGCAGAGCCTAATAAACTAGAAGAAAACGTTTCAAAAAGGGCTTGGATGTAGAGATGCTCGGGGTGATTCTTAATCATTGTTCTTGTAAGACGTTGTGACAAAAATCACAACAAATCTCTTCCTGCCTGGAAGCTGAACTTGCTTATTGCCTGACCTTTTTGGTCCGAGGCAACAAAATATATAAACATAATTATCAGAATCTCAAAGGCATTTCAGAGTGTGAGCCATTTCTGCATGTTTTCAGTGCCTGGTTTCAAGCAGGAAGGGTGAAGTGATTTACATTTGTGTATGAGCTTTATCTTTTAGTGAATTTTTAGCCCCTGGGAAACGCCCTGCTGCCTCCCAGTCTAACACACAAACAGAACACATAAAGACAGAGGCACAGTGACAGAATAAATTACAGTGCATGCTGTGGCTTCAAATTCGTGAAAAACTCTCAGCAAGTTGGTAAACAGCTTGAGAACCACTTAGCTGCCAGTTCACACATACCCACCGCACAGATTTCTCTTTGTAGAATAACGATGTTGGACTTTGTTTCAGTGTTGATCTCCTTAGAGCCCCTGGAGCCACCCTGGTACCACGCGTTTGCTCTCAAACATACACTCTGGTCTTACAAAATCTGCCTGAATCGACGCAGCTCTTTAGTCCAGGTTGTTAGCGGTCAGTACCAGCTTACCCTGCAGTTGATCTGGATGTGCTGAATTCCAGCTGGATTATAAAACAGCTCACAGTGTTGAGGGCATCTGAAACACACACATGTATCCATACAGAGGTCACATTATGCTTTATTGACCTATATACACCTGCTGACCTACGGCATCATTACCTGAAACAAACAGGTAAATTGTATCAAACGCTTTAAAGCCATGACTGCCTACTCTATAGCGTGGAAACCTTTAATACACATTTTGCATCCACCGATCACACAAACACTGCTGTTGTTGTCAGATGACAAAACTAGTTTACTTGTTCACAGATTTGAATATGTTTTCACCTCTTTTAGACTTTCAACTGGATTTTTTTCTCATTATGGGAAGACTGGAATTTCCACTCCCCTGATATACTAAACATCTACACCACCGTGCAGTTTTAACCAATAAATAAAATAATTCGAGCAGCACCTTACATACCAACTAATACCAAAATAGATGTGGTAGGAAACTCAAAAAGTCCATTCTCAGCTAAGGCTGGTGCTTTGCAGTCCTGAAGGTTTTTAGAAAGCGATCTGGATTCCCACTTAAACTTCCCACTTCCCACTAAAACTAAATATTATAGACTATCCCAGATTATGGATCTGCTCTTATGATTAAGTCACTGTGAGGGAAAGTGGCTCCTTGCTGTGTAAGTATAAGAGTGCTCTAAAAGACCCTGCTATCTAAGAGGCTGTGGGAAACACACACACACACACACGCACACACACATTTGTGGGTTTCTTCGTTATATTTGTGCCAGAGTTCTATTGGGTCACCCTCCAGCTTCCTGTGAGTGTGCACTTCCTCATACGTGTGTCATGGCAGAACCTTCTCAGCAAAGGAAGGAAAATCTAACACACTAGCAGTTACACACAAGCACACACACACAAACACCAGGGTCTTGTCACTTATTTTCGTTTCCTGCCTCCCCAGCTGCTCGGACCCTTCCCTCCCCTCTTCCACTCGGTCTCTGCCTTCCTCAGCCCATTCGAGCTCTCTCCTCTCCACCCTGTGGTTGTGAGCGTGGATTTTCTGGGGGGTGAGCGATGTGTTGTTCGGTGGGTTTTGCCAGGTCTCTGGGCCTGGCTCTGTTGCCTCTGGCCCTTTGCTGTATTGTGGCAAACCTGCTACTGCTGTTTCCCATGGGAGAAATCACCTACATTAAGCAGGACCGCCTGGCCAGCTACATCTGGTACTTTGGTGGCCTAGGAGGTGGGGGGCTGTTGGTGAGTACAAAAAAAAACAACCCTCTTTGATCATCTTCTGTCATTTTTAATTTGTAACATTATAGTTTAGGGTTTAAGTCTGATTGGATCATCAGATATCTGGAGGTTGAATCTGTTTTTAACTTCCGGTCATGATGGTGACTGTGCTCAAAGATTCATTTATTTTATACTTTGTATTACATGGAGAATTGCCAATCAATAATAGAAAAATTAGCTGGTTATTTATCTATATTTTTTGTATGTACGACATTTTGAGGTTTGAGGCTTTAGACAACACCCTGTCCAAATGCTCCAAAATAATTGATCGTAATAGCGTTTGTTTTTTCATTTTTTGCTGTTTGAACGGTTGGCAGCTGTAGTGGAGAAGAAGAAGAAACTAGAAGCTTGTGCGTCTGAAGGTTTATTTGTGTTCCATTTGATGAGCTGTTACTGAAAACGTGACATCACATGGTATAAAGTTCAATGTCCTTTTACTAAAAGTTCAGCTTGGATGCTATATAATAAGCATTTTTTTTCGTACTCTGGAAAATTTTAAATATGTGGCAGCAATGTGATTTGGGACAGATGCTAGTGGTGTATCTATCTCCTTTAGATGAGGTGAAAGGGTGAAATTCAGTGATTCTCAGTGTAGTGAGATTTCCTTTTCATTTGTAGCCAGCCATTGTTTATCATGAGTCATTTTCACTGCCGTGTGTAAGAAGCATTCTCTCACCCCGTGACCATGTGACTCTGAAACACTACCCAGTTAGCAGATGAAATCCTTTAAAAGCGTGATTACAATTGCTGGATACTTATGTCACCTTCCTGCCTCCCTCATTCAGCAGTAAGTGCAGCAGGTGCTGGCACATGTAGTCAATGGCAGTGCCACTGTGTGTAAGAAAGCCTCGCTTTTGTCGATAAGTTGATACTAGTCAATACTCATTTATGCTTTCAACTTGCTTTTAACTTCTACTAAATTAGTTCAGTTGTAGTTGAGAGGATTTTGGTTGAGTTTTGATTTTACGTCAAAAGTTTGTTAAATTCTGGTCGTTTTCCCATCAGCACCTTTCAGACAGAGTGTTTGCAGTTGCTCAGTGAGAACAATGGAGTTTTGTGTGCATCCACAGTTAATCCGTCTGCTCTGCATGCTGCTGATCTGATGGGTTTATGCTCGGACTGAGCAGAACGGAGCTGTTCTTTTAATTTGGTTTTGTGGAGGAACAGAGGAGAGACTGTAATCCCCCCCAGACAAGACCGAGTGTGTTAATCAGCAGAACACGTGCACATTTTGAGTAAAAAAAATATGCTCAGAGTGTCTGTGAAAGTGCTCAGGGTTTGTACAAGTTGTAGCATCAAGACTTTGTGAAGAACAACACGATAAAGACTGGATGTTGTGCATTCCACTATCGCCCTTGCCTATGTTTCTGGCTTTTCAATTTGGTCTTAATTGAAATGTTCAAGCTTTCAAAAACAGGCACCACTTATGGCAGGTTTTGAACCTTTTTTTTAAAGAAAAATTCTGAGTGCGATGAGTCTGTACGGCGGCATTGATAGCTGTTGGTATGAAGGCCTGCATAGGATAAAGGAAAGAAGCCTGAAAACCATACTGACTTACACGGTATATTCTCACTTTCCTGCTCTTTCTCTGTAATATGTCACGTCTTTAACTGCTAAAAGGTTGTCAGTGTAATTACTTTTAAACAAGCCTGATAAAATACTTATAAAGGGCAGTCTGACTAAAATCCATCTTGGGCCTCTTTGTCTGAGAAAGGAATGATTTTTAGTCTGAGTTTGTGTCAGTCTTTCCCTCTCTGGGCTTTATCTTTCTCTGTGGAAATGACCAAATGCTGAGAGTCAAAGAGCAAACTGAACCAATCAGGGCATAATCTATTTTTGGGTTACTCCCTTCCTCTTCCTTGCTCTTCTGGCTTCCTTTTCCCTTCTCTTCCTTTCTCACTGTGCACCTCCCGCCGCTGCTTGTCGTCAGCCTCCCCTGCTGCCTCTGTTATAGGATGGGGCTTTAAGAGGGATGTCCAGGATGTGGAACAACACTCTGATCCCTCTCTTTGTTTCTGTTCGTACGTTAATGTTTTAAACCAAGGGAACCGCCTTTCCTCTTTTACGATGTAGTAGGAGAGCAAAAGATACCGACACAGGGAAGAGGAGGACAGAAAATAAGGGATGAAGAAGATAAAAAGTCAATTCCTGAAACAAACAAATGTTGGATTGCCTTTAGTTCTTGAGTTGTACACACAAGTACACTATGTGGCAGCTGCCGCAATTCACACTGCACTTTATATGGCCTGTGCTCATGTTTGCCCATCTCAAATTACTAGTACCATTGGGACGCAGAAGGGTCTGTCATAAAGTTATGTTTAATGTGCACTATTAATTAACTCCAGCTATAGCAAACTGTTTCTCTCTGTTAGGGCAGGAGGTTGGCCATTTTGTTTTGGACCAAAGTCAAACAGTGTATGATATGTATCATTAAAATCACTTTGAATTTGGATCTCAGGGAGAATAGTCACATTTTTCACCACCTACATGAAGCCAAGAATAGCTCTAAGACTAAGTCCCATTAAAAAACTAACAGCTGAATGAACATTACAGCTTCACGCTGATTGTGTTGAATATATGTGATTCATTGTTAGGTGACATTTGTACAGTATTTAGTGCGGCAACATGACTTTTGAGGATAGAGTGTGCCACATGTTGGCTAGATTGCAAAGCTCTTTGAGAAAACGTTGTGGTATATGCTGTATGAATGAAACACAGGATTTGACTTGTAAGCGGTGATCAACAGTAGGTGGCAGTAGAGATGCTGGTATAGAGCACTGAATTACTCTGGCAGCTCCTAGTAACCAAATGCAAAGATTGCTGCTATTGGGTGTTATTAATGGTCAATAAAACAAATAACAAATACTTTCTGTACTTTTAGATGCTGGTTCCAGCTGTTGCCTTCACCACGCTGGGGAAATGTAGTTGCTGCTGGAATGAGAGTTTAATGGTAAGAGACGTGTTAAGCTGTAAATAATGCTTAAAAATCTACAAAGGAGACGCTGTGCTGCACAGAAAATTGGGTTCACAACATGCAGGCCGTTATTTCCAAACTGCCGGCTGCCATTTTCATTTTCTTAAATCTAAATGTTTTCCTTTTTTTCTCACTACTTGCTTGATTACAAGGGTAAAGTTTTTAAGCTGCCCAACACTGTGTCCTTATGAACTGAATGCTAATTCTAAGCCAGCTATGATAACTCAACAAGGCCCCCATTGTTAGGTAACACTCAACAAAGTAAGCTTGGCTCACACCCTTCAGGCCACAGGCACAGCTGCAGATACACACGTGTGTGTGTGTGTGTGTGTGTGTGTGTGTGTGTGTGTGTGTGTGTGTGTGTGTGTGTGTGTGTGTGTGT